TAGAGTTTTCACATTTATTTCTGTCCGCGACTATAAAAAATTAAAAAGTGCCCTAAACGTAATCTGTGGCAGCGTTGAATTGTTCGAGGAACTAAAATTTTATTTGGTTGATTTTACAGATGCAAGTAGCATCCAAATATAATTTTACGGTTGGAATTTTATACACATATCGAAATTCTCTTGTCTCTGTAGCACCCTCAGGATGAGCACCAGGTGCCTACTTTTTATCTCCCGTCGCAGTATGGTGGCGAAATTCGAAATTGTTTTCGACAGTCGTTATATCTTTTAATATTATATCCGGGTTAAAATAAGTCTTGTTCTTCTGTTGAATGTGTTGGGATTTACCGCCACGCCCCCTATACGGTTCCATGGCTTGGTGTCAGACACAGGGACGAAATTCGGTATTAATATCCGGGCTATGATTATTCGGTTTATCTGTTCTTCTATTCAGTCACTGAACAGGAAACAAATTAAAACTTCCCGTTGCTATCTGCGTCTCTTGTACCCATCCGCGCGTAAGGTCCGAGTGAGATAATTCAGTATGTGATAGTCGGAGAATTGCTGCTAAGGTAAAGCAGAAGTAAGTCTCGTTAGTGTGGGGGTTCATTCAGTGGCTTGGCGCATCGCATTTCATCGTGTTTCACGCCACGTTGAATCCTTTGTTCCACGCAGTCGCAGTGAACCAGCGTTACCCGTTGCCTTTTTATATATTTTTTGTAAAAAAACGAGAGAGAACTTTCTCTCTCTCTCTCTCTCTCTCACCCCTTTGCTCTAAATGAAGGGCTTGTGTAAGCATGAGCTGTAGGGGTAAATACAGGGTGTATGGACGGACCGGCAAAGCAAAATCTGCTGTGAGTTACGCGTATATACAAACGAATGTTTGTTTCCTTCCTTACTTTGGAGAGCGATGCTGTTTACTGCAGTAGCCTATGGATTGATTCAGTGTTCAATATTAGGTCAGTCTGTGTCAGATTGGTTCAGGACAAAGTTTCAGGTTTTAAACTTATACGTGTTTTCTCCTATCGGAACTTACCTGCTTATTATTTATTTAGTGTTCTGTCTGACGACAGGTCCATATGAACAGGATCCTTACATCCTTTTCTCGGACTGGGATTATTATTATTATTATTATTTAGTGTTCTGTCTGACGACAGGTCCATATGAACAGGATCCTTCCATCCTTTTCTCGGACTGGGACCTGTTCATATACGTTCTTGGCAGATGATCCAGAAGTGGTTTGCCATTGCCTTCTTCTTTGTGTGAATGGAGTAATTGTTGGGATGCCACGGAGAAACCGGGGAAGCCCCCGGAGGAAAACTCCGTGTTGCCTAGACCACGGCCTTGCCCAACACAAGGGAAATTAAATGTTTTTAGCAGAAAAGTGTAAGACACCATGTAAGTGTTTCTGTGAATAATTAACCTAGTAACTAATTCTCTGGAAAGAGAACCCCGAAGGATAATACCAAAGCCCGCCACTGGACACGATCTTGAGCCAGTTCAGTCCACCTCCCATTCTCAACTACAACCGTTTTCGTTGTGCAATATTTTGAATTCCCGCTTAACGTAGTCCGTGTAGAGTAGCTTTATATATTTTCGTGCATGCGTTGTTGTCAAATATTTATACGTATCGCACAATAGAGCATGACACAACGTTTCAGTACCGAACAGAACTGACAGAAAAATATTTTACTTTTTTTTTCTGACTGTAAGGATTAAAATCATACAAATTGATTACTGCGGATAAGCTGATGTCAACTCGACAATTTTTACCTCACAAATTATGGTCTGATTGACATGGGTCCCATTTAATTTATAGATCTTTCATGGAATTATCGGTCTATTGTTACATTACATAATAGAGTCCACGATATGTCGCTTTTCAGAGTAAACACAATTAGTCCAACCTGTATTAGACCCAAGCACTTGTTAATTGGTTTAATGTGGGAACAAATTGATCCCTATAAAATGTTTTGTATTTTGGCAACTTCCAATGAAACTCTCGATAAATGAGCGACATCTCGTAAAACGTTAAACTCTAAAGACATAAAAAATTTACGGTGATAAATTTAAAAATAGGGAGTTACGGGCAAGATTAATCGACAGTTATGTATAGTAGGCTTCTAGAATAGAATAATATAATCTCTAACCAGGGTGGTCAGAGTTTACGCAGGCCACCCTGGTTGAAAGTCGTAGCAATGTAACATTTTAATTAGTAATGTATTGCCCACTTTTTACAAAAATCTCTACTGCGTGCAGGGAAAAAAACTGTGTAATGAGGATCCCCATACTTTTTATTTTTAATATTATTATGGTGATCAATTGAAGGCGGATGATGTGGGCTGTGGTACCAGTAGAGCTGAGATCGATTATTATTTAATTATATGACTTTATTATTATCATAGAAATTAGGGTTGCTGGTAAAACACTGGGTTAAATGCAAGTAACACTTGTAAATTTGTTTTAATACTTATATATATTATCCATACAATAAGTGGTTTTCGGTCTTATAATTACATTAGAATTTCATTTATACCAAGTTTAGGAGATTCTGCTATATACAATATACAAGCTAATATATTACCACTATCACCATGGTCTATAGTACACACTTGCATTGCGGAAATCAGAAAATCTAATGTACAAAATTTACAGTAGCTTACAGTAATTTATCTTAAGGTAGAATAAGATTTAAAGTCGCCCATGTTAAAAGTTCGGTAACAGGAGAGAAATACTATTGATCTTAACAAGACAGCTTAAAAACGCCTGTTACAAAATCTGAGACCGGCTAAAATTGTGCCTATGTGAACTTAAGTCCAATGTGAAGGAAACTTTCTTCACATGTTTGGTTCCCCCCCAGAATAAATTCTTTCGCACGTATTTCTCTCCTTACCAAAATATTCTAACACTGAAAATTAGTTAATACTGCACCGTGTAGTATCAGATACCGTGAAAGATTCTTTTAATTTAATATAACAGCATTGTTGATTGTCTGAGAAAGCATTTAAGAAGATACAAATTTGTGGATCACTAGATGTTTGACAAAATATTAATTGTGCAAAAACTAACATGTCATGTAATGTGTTATCAGATACAGCGAACGCAGTTATTATATTTCGGTCACCAGAATGTCTTTCGATAAATTTTGTAATGGCGTCATACAGCAGGAGGACGTCTGCTTTAATTTCAGTTCACGCTTACCAGGAACCTTATAATCACTTATTTTCTAGATAAGGTACGAACTACTTTCTTTATTGAATAAAAATTTTCTTGGATATTATCCATCGTCTAGTAAATATAAAACGTAAAACGACGTTTCGGAGATGGGACTCTATCTCCGTCTTCAGGTTCCTACACAGTTGGACCCACTAGATAGAGCTAATCCCTATCTCCGGACCTCTTGGATATTATCCATCGTCTAGTAAATATAAAACGTAAAACGACGTTTAGGAAATGGGACTCTATCTCCGTCTTCAGGTTCCTACACAGTTGGGCCCACTAGATAGAGCTAATCCCTATCTCCGGTCCGGAGCCCCATCTCCGAAACGTCATTTTACGTTTTTTACGTTTTATTACTAGACGATGGATAATATCCAAGTAAATTTTTATTCAATTGACTCTTCACCATCGTCAAGAAGTTTTAGATTTGATATACTTTCTTTATCTTTTAAATCCTGCTGACTGCAGCGATGCTGAGCAAGTATTACATCAAATTAGGTAAAAACAAATAACATCAGGAACATCTTTATTGCCTGCCATACGTTTAACCCGAATGGTCAGACTTTTATCAAATTCCTGTTTTTTTTAAATTAAATAACTTGGCTGTAATTAAGGCAGTCACTAGATATTTTACACCTTTGACTGATTCACACGCAAATAAATAATATTTTCCTACTTAAATATATTTAAACAAGATCTTTGTGTGTGGTCAGTGATGTCTTCAAACAAACTTAGTTTATATTAAAGTTCATTTTCTTTCTTAAACGTCATGAAAATATATCATTCTTAATCTAATGATTATATCTTCCCCAACACTTTGCGTTCCTTAAGCCAGTGAGAGGTTCACCACTTTGTAGAGACACGTGTTTATACTTTCCAAGCACGTACATGCTTACATATGTGAGATAATTCGCTCTACTCATCTGTACTATTATTATATGTATGGAAGAAGGTTGTCAATCGATTGACATGATTTCGAATTTATATTATTTAATTATATGAAATATGAGGTTTTTACGGCGGCGAAGGGATGTCCCAGTAATAATACATTTTCTTTCATATTAAAAGACATAAAATTATGCTCAAACCACATTATAAAATTTGTTAAATTTTCAAAATAGGAATCCAAGATAGATTCAAACGTTTTAAATTTATTGATTCATTAGTGTCAGACAAGAGGACTTACAGATATGTGAAATATTGATGTTCAAAATCAACTGTACCATTCTAATTACTGTTTAGGAGAAAATTTAGTGTCCCTTGTTCATTTACAGAGCTTCGTGTTATCTGTGCTTTACGGAAATCGCGTGACTGTGCGGGCTGTATTACGCTTTTGCACCAAGTAGAGTCGAGAAAACAAGAATCAGATATCCACGTTTAGCTTGAAGACATGATAGTTTTGTTAGTGTTGAGAGTTGAACCAAAGAGGCCGGTGTTATTCGTAATTAATTGTTGGCGATAGGTCGTTTTTTATTGCTGCGTAGCCGTGGCTTAACCGTCTCTATGCTGATTCAAATTTATCGTGACTAAATCAATGAAGTCACTCAGCTGGTTAAGAAATTCTCCACTTTGTGTAGAACCCGAAGGTTTATTAGAATGTTTACAAGAGTCAGATATTGGTTTTTATCTCTCAAATTCTTTTTATCAACAATTATGCCATCTGTGCTCAGATATCCCAAATGACCTCTTCACTTCATTTCTCTGATTAAAATTTTGAATTAATTTCTCATCTCCCGCCTATCTCTTCTTCATGACTCTATGACCCTAATAATATTCGATAAAAATTACAAATTACGAAAGGCTTCTTTGCTTCTCATGGTCAGCATCGAAAGGGTTACCATTAGTGGCAGTCTGCAGGAGGTTATGTCAGTCGGCTGGCTAGTAAGGCCTCCAGACAGTCTTGTGGCTTTGCTCCTCCGCCGCTCTGCGCCTCCTCCATGGGGACGCACTTGCTGGAACGCCGACCTCACCACATCCACCGTGTCTTCCCCAGTGTCACTAGCATCATCACTGCTTACCCTCGCGTTTGGGACAGGACTCGGCGATCTTCTTGGTGGTGGTGACACTTTAGTTGTCTGTGGTGGAGGCACGGTGAGACTGAGGGTGCCTGGGGAAAAGTCCGGAGACGAGGAAGTGGCCAAGGTGAAGGCTGACTCATGTTTGGTTCCGGACTGTGACAGGAGAAGTTTGTCATTTAGTATGAGAGGGTCCGTAGTGGCGGCTGGATGAGGAGGAGGGGGTGGGTATCCCAGAAGTGGTGGGAGGAATCCTGGCGGCGGTGCCGGAGGGGGCACTGTGGG